TATAATCTTAATATACCATCATTTGGTGTAGACATTTATTATATGAATCATAAAATATTTTAATATTGAAAATACTTTATTACGTGAATGTGATGTAGTCCAAACTTCAAATAATCATATTAGTTATAACAATATTTTTATGACAACATGCTTAATAATTTATAAATATTTATATATCATTTTATTAATAATTTTGAAAATATTTATATATCATTTTATTAATAATTTTGTAAATATTTATATATCATTTTATTAATAATTTTATTATAATTTTTATTAATGTACAGTAAATATAAGATTTTCAGAACCGGACCGTCATCGAAACGATCAAGTTATTTTATTAAATTATTTGTGGTTTGTTCAGATATTAATTTATAAATATTTTATTATATATAATACTTTTTGTAATAAATTTAAATAAATGAAAATACTTAAATATCTAAACAATTTATAAATTCAAATATTTAAACTAATCGATAAAGAGTTTATAAATCTCTATTTTATTTAAATATGTAATTTTATTTATAATAATTTTAAATGTAACCAAATTTATTTAGAAAATCGATATCGATCCTACCCGTCAAACCGACTGGTGTTGACAGATTCGATAGCAAATATTTTATACAAGCAAGTAGACTGGTTATAAACCGATTATCGGTTCATCCGGCCGGACTGTGTCCAATCCGATTTAATTTAAAAACAATGAGTAAATCATGATTAATATTATTTATATATATAATTTATAACATCGGGCCACGCACTAATCTATATATCTATAGTAATATAAAGAGGTTGTTGGAAAAATACTTTTATAGTAAGTTTGACTAAAAAAATAAATGGTTTGAATTACTATTAGTGGAAATTTCGGAAAAAACACATGTACCAAAAAAATTAAGATTTTTATGGTAACAAATTTGGAGATTTTTATGGTAACAAATTTAATTGAGATATCCCAAAAAAATTGGAGATTTTTATGGTAACAAATTTGTAGATTCCTATACCAAAATTTAATTCATTTTAAATATTAATCCCATAGGAATATACTTTTATTGGTAACAAATTTGAAGATTCTTATGCCAAAAAATTGAGATTTTGAATTGAGACATTCCAACAATTACAGATTTTTTTCCCATTCAAATTAATGTTGTAAATCAAACAAAAAATTATTCCAAAAATAATGGATGTTATACCAAATATTGATAAATTCCAATCCCATAGGAGATTTCTATAAGATTCTTATGGTAACAAATTGGAGATTCTTATGCCAAAAATTGAGATTTTGAATTGAGATATCCTAACAATTTTAGATTTTTTCCCCTTCAAAATCATGTTGTAAATCAAACAAAAAATTATTCCGAGAATAATGGATGCTATACTAAATATTGATAAACTCCAATCCATAGGAAATTTCTATGGGATTCTTATGGTAACAAATTTGGAGATTCTTATACCAAAGATTTAGTTCATTTTAAATATTAATCTCATAGGAATCTATTTTTATTGGTAACAAATTTGAAAATTCTTATGCCAAAAAATTTAGATTTTGAATTGAGATATCTCAACAATTACGGATTTTTTTTCCATTCAAATTAATGTTGTAAATCAAACAAAAAATTATTCCGAGATAATGGATGCTATACTAAATTAGTATCACTGGGCCCACACGTTAATATGATATTAATTAGATAGATAAATTACGTAAATCTTTCCTAACAAAATGCGTTCCTATATTGTTAACCAATTTAATGGGATTTTGTTAACTAATTTGATAGGATTTTGGTAACCACGGAATTTTGTTAGCTTTTCATGGAAACACGTATCTTCATTATTGATAAGATTTTGTTTTCAATTTTTTTTTGTTTTTTTTCCTCTCTCGAAATTTGTTAAGATTTTGTTTCCTCTTTTTTCTCTCTCTCGAAAATTTGAGTTGTGGATTTGAAAAAAATAAATAACTAAATAAAATAAACATATCATATTGATAAAGTTTTAGTGTGGGCATAAAAATCAATTTTGATTTGATTGAACTTTGTTTCATATAAACCTAAGAGAATCAGGCGTTTGAAAAAATAAAATATTAATAGTAAATAACTATACCATATTTGTATGGTTAGATTTGAAATATTGAGGCATAAAAATCAATTATGATTTGATCACATTATGTTTTATAGAAGTTATCTTAGAAAATTTTACACGTTTCAAACAATTCAAGATTATAATTTCGTAAATTAAAGTTTTGGATTTGTCCAAATAAATAGGAAAATATCAAAACAAAAATAATATTTTTCAATCTATCCAAAAAGTCTTACCAAATTTTATCGTAACAAACTCCATTATTTTGGCTACATAATCTTCTAAATATTCGTTCGTCCCTCACAAGTGAATCACGTTCCATATTTTTTTTTATTTTTTTAACAAAACTGATAACACATATTTTTAGAAGTCAATCATAATCATAATAAAAAAAATCAGATCGGATCATATTAAATACCTTACGTAAATATTTTTTTATTTCCCAGACATATGGCACATACACATGACTATATAAACATCACCAACATTGAACAAAAAGTATTTGACATCCAATACATCCCACAAAACAATTTTTTCTACAATCTTTTACATCACCATTGAAAATGATTTCAGATTTTGGAGTAATGAAGGATATCAAAAGATCCAATAAGCCACCAATCAAGCTACGGATAATTAGTATGTTCCAACAAGTTGAAGACGTACGCAATTACCGAAATGTTCTTGAGATTATCTTTCACGATTTTAAGGTAATATATTCTTTTATTATTATTTAAATACATCATTTTATGCAACATCTTTTATAATTTATTTATTGAATTATTCATTATGCAATATTTTGGGGAGGACGAATTACTGGCATAATTCGACCTGTCAATATCCAAAAAATCATCGGTGATATTGAAGAAGGTGGCGCTTATATCTTGACAAACTATCAAAGGGAAGCAATATTGACATCTATAAATCGACAATTGGAAAAAGGAAGATCATTATCAATGGTCAAACCAAGATTATCAAATGGAGGGGTGATTTTCCTATGTGTTGTTTTGACTTTAGGAACTTTCTAACTTTAATGGATGTTCGTAACATTGATGAAGACAGGTTGTTTGGTATGTTATAATTTTTTTGTTTATTTCTTATTTCAATTTTTTTAATTTAAAATTTGTAATAAACTATTTTATATGTTATACGTTTCAATATGATGCATTTTCTTATATTTTTGTAGATGTTATTGGACTAATTATTTACAATTATGTTTTCTTACGACATGACTATAAATAAGAGCCAGGAACAATCATTATCGTATGTGGGCTTATTTTCTTAAGAAACCAGTGTTTAGTCATGACCAATTGTATGTTGCAGTCTCCCGTGTCACAAACAAAAATGAGTTTGAAAATCCTAATTTGTGGCGACGATGACGTGCCAAAGAATCAAACCATGAACGTTGTATATAAGGAAGTGTTCAATAATATATGGATTTTATTATCATTGCATTTATTAATTTATTTATTATTAATGGCATGATCTTTCTTTTAGTAAGTACTTTGAATTTTTATTGAACATTGCTTTATAAAAGGGATGGAGATAATAAACCCCCGTGCATCGCACGGGGACTGTACTAGTATATATAATAAGAATTAACATTTACCAAAAATAGTAGCAAAAAAATAGTCAGAATTTAATGCAGCCTATAAATAGTAAGTTTTATTATTTTTTTTATTTTTTCTGTAAAAATCATACAACATTAAATGTTACCTTAAATTTCGAGCTTTAATTCATTTTATTATTTAAAAAATCCGGCTAATATTTATTAAGTGTGTATGTTTTTATTTTTATTTTTTCTTAGAAACAACGAACAATATTAAAATCTCGGTCTCTATATTTATAAAATCTTAATTCAAAATATAACAAAAGTTTTAGAATCTCGGTCTTTAAATTTGTGCCTTTTAAAAAAAAATGAACGCTAAAATATTCTTTAAATTGCATAATCAATCAATTAATCTTTATTTTTTAAAAATTACTATGCTTATTTTTTATAATATACATAAAGTAAAAATAATTAATTCATCTTTAGATATATAATTTATAATCTTAATATACTTTCATTTGGTGCAGACATTTATTATATGAATCATAATATATTTTTATTTCATAAAATTAAATATATTTAAAGAAAATAAGAAAATTTCTTCGGATCAATCGGGTGATTGAATTAGGGTACTGTCCAGGTTGATTGAAATACTTTTATGTGATATTTAAAATAGTCAAAAAACTTGACACAACTTGGTTGGTCCCAAGTGATTAAGTTATGCATCAGTTCGACCACACCAAATCGATTATTGAACCTAAATATAAATTTTATATTGAAAATATTTTATTACGTGAATGTGATGTAGTCAAAACTTCAAATAATTGTATTAACAATACTTTTATGACAACATGTTTAATGATTTATGAATATTTATATATCATTTTATTAATATTTATGTGAATTAAATAATATTTTATTATAATATTTATTAATGTATAGCAAATATAAGGTTTTCAAACAATCAAGCTATATATAGTATCTTTTGTAATAAATTTAAATAAAATGTGTTACTTAGATATCTAAACAATTTATAAATTCAAGTGTTTAAACAAATTGATAAATAATTTATAAATCTCTATTTTATTTAAATATGTAGTTTTATTTAAAATAATTTTAAATATAACAAAATTTATTTAGAAAATCGTATCGATCCTACCAGTCCAACCGACTGGTGTTGACGGATTTGAGAGCAAATATTTTATTCAAGCAAACTAGACTGGTTACAAACTGGTTCTCAGTCCATCCGGTCAGACTGTGTCCAACACGGTTTAATTTAAAAACAATAAATAAATCATGATTAATATTATTTTATATTTAATTTATTACAATCTTAATATTATTTTTACGGCCACGCACTAGTTTTATATCCAAACGAGCTATACATTTCGGTACCAGCACCGATTTGCCGCCACGCCCAAAACCTCACCCAATAGCCCAACTGCTTCTCCCTAGGGTTTTAGGCGTCCCCTCCGTCATCAATGGCTGGCCAAAAGAATCAGAAGCCTGAAACAGAGGCTCCCAACGCCGCCGACCATGGCGAGACGAAGCCGCACAAGAAGCACAAGAACAAGCACAAGCGGAAGATGGAAGAAAACGATCCGGAAATCGTTACAGAATCGAAAAGCGACGCCAAGAAGAAGAACAAGAAGGAGAAGCATGAAGAAATGGTGAAGCTGAAATTGGACGAATCAGAGGAGAAGGAAGCGGTTAATGGGTCGGTCGGATCTTCAAAGAAGAAGAAGAAGAAAGAGGAGGAAAAAGGTAAGAGAGAAGGTGTGGAGAATGTAACGGAGGGTGTGAGAGAGGGAACCGGCGTTGTGGTGTCTGGGAAAAACGTGAATGATTCGAAATACAAGGCATTGGACTCGTTTGTGGAGTCTGGGCTCTCGAGTGAAATTTTGGACTGCTGTAAAACATTTGATAAGCCGTCGCCAATTCAAGCTAATTCCTGGCCTTATCTGCTTGATGGCCGTGATTTAATTGGAATTGCAGCCACTGGGTCAGGTACAATTTCTTGTTCCTCTCTTAATTTCATTGTTGCAACACTCTCAGCATTTTACTTTTGCTCCGTGTGGTCTTTTTGTTATGTGTGTGTGGTTGGTTTTGTTAGGTAAGACGCTTGCATTTGGAATTCCTGCAATGGTTCACGTTCTAAGCAAGCGAATGAGCAGTACCTCTAAGAAAGTGATTCCACGTTGTCTTGTTCTGTCGCCAACAAGGGAGCTGGCTCAACAAGTATGTTCTCAATTTGTTGGTTCTGTGGAGCGTGTTCCATTGTATGTACATTGAACTACAAGTGTATGTTTGCGTTATTGAAAACAAGGTTATGTTTGGTATTATTATGCTTCTCGTATTGAAGGTATCCTGTCTGAACAAATATGCCAATTTTCCTCGAGCTGAATGTACTTCATGTTTCGACTTTAGAATTGATTTTGCTAAATATTTGTAAATGTGATTCTTGCTCAACAATACAGATATTTATCCATTTACTCCAGTGTCCATGAAGCCTTTTCATAGATACAAGTGTTCAATGACCACATATATAACTTTTAATATGGTGAACGCTTTTTGAATGATGTAGACTGATGATTCATAAATGTGCTAGATTTCAGATGTTCTTTGTGATGCTGGCAAGCCTAGTGGAGTAAAGTCAGTTTGTATATATGGAGGAACTTCTAAAGGACCCCAGATATCTGCTCTAAAATCTGGTGTGGTAAGCTTTTCTTACTTTTGAACTCCCGAGGAATATTGGGTGGGTTTCTAATGGTTATAGTCCTCATTAGTTTTTTTTTTTTTCTATGCATGTCACTGCATCTGTAATTTGGCATTTGGTGGCTACGAGATTTTGCCTATTGTAGCTGACAACTTATTTTATGTGTACGTGTAGTAATTATAGGTCGTACCCTGTATCTGTATACATCATATTATTAATGTAAGATAGATTATTTGGTTCTGAAGCTCTGGAACACTGAGCACCCTCTATATACTTACACGTTCCATCCAGAACACCCGAACTATGAATGTTCTTTGGGAGGACAAATAGTTTTTGTCCTGAAAACTTTAGTAGCATGAGAACTGAGAAACAGACAGAATGATATGGTTCTTTTTCTCATTGTTTGACATGGTTCAAATTCAATACCTTAAGCCTCTGTTTTTTGTTGTTCTATTCAGGACATTGTGATTGGAACCCCAGGTCGTTTGAAGGACTTGATCGAAATGGGAGTGTGCAACCTAAAGGAGGTATCCTTTGTGGTAAGTAAGAATTCATTTGTTACTGCATTGGTATAAATGGCTGGTTATTTCTAGATGACTTATTTCTTTCCTCTTTCATTGCTTGTATTTTGTATGTTATTCATCGTCAGTGAAGTATTTGTTTTAGACTAGATAACTTATTATTTAATATACTAATTGTGCACTCCAAACTACCAACCAATCTGGTAGCTTAATATTAAATCACTTGTAGTACGTTTTGAAATTACTAACAATTAAAAAATGTAAACATGTAATCTTCTTATTTCAAAGGTGATTTCTAGCTTGCCCCTTATTAGCATGATATCTATGCTGTTTTTTGTTCCCAGTTATACTGTGCTCTATAATGTTATGTATGACTTTGAAGTGTGCCTAGGAGGCTAGGACTAGTTAAGTTGGCTGTTCATTAAACAGTTCTTTTCATTTTTATGGGTGCTGATGGACTTTTTTTGACATGAAATGATAGTTGAAATGCCTGTTTAACTTTTTAAGCTCCATTTAGGCTACTGTGTCTTAATGTGGTTTACAATTTAGGTCCTAGACGAAGCTGATCGCATGCTTGATATGGGATTTGAACCTGAGGTTCGCTCAATATTAAGTCAAACATGCTCAGGTATGATGTTGAACTCCCGATGGAATGTCATTTTGAACACGTTGAATTTACTAATCTTAATTTTGCATTTCCTCTCAACCTTAAAATTTCGAGTGGGTCTCATCGTTAACCTTCACTTGGTGTGGGTTTCATCATTTCTGTAATATACAAATGTCTAACTTGTGTGCGATAATAAGTACCATTTGCTGCACGTGTCTCATCATCGTTTTTTTTTCTTCGTTTGATTGCATGTAATTCCATATGGCATGGTGCTCAGTTCGCCAGATGGTAATGTTTAGTGCAACATGGCCCCCAGCTGTGCATCAATTAGCTCAGGAGTTCATGGATCCCAACCCAGTTAAGGTATAAATTGTCTGAGGTAGTTGCCTTGACTGCATACAGTATACCTTCTTAAGCTGTTTTCTAATTAAAATTTTAAATGTGTCAGGTGGTTGTGGGATCAGAAGATTTAGCTGCTAACCATGACGTCATGCAGATAGTGGAGGTATGGTTTGATTGGTAATGGCAATGGGATATTAGCATGTACTGTATTGTTCATATACAAAATATTACTGTGTTCCATTACAATGAAGTTCTCACTCCCATGGCACTACAGGTGTTGGATGATCGGGCACGTGATGAACGGTTGCAGAATTTGCTAGAGAAATACCACAAGTCTAGAAAGTATGTAATGATGCTTTAAATTACTCTCTTAGAAAATAAGTTTATACTTTATACTTAGTTTCTTTCCAAGTCCAAATCAAGTTATGATCTCCATAATCTGATATTCTGGACTAAACCACTTGAGAATCTGGCATATTGGTGTAAAGTGACGAACAAAATTGCGGCTAGGTTCAGTAAATGAATCTGACCTATACAGTTGCTATTCCCCTCATCCCCTTCTCTTTAGCAGTTCAATTTTTTCATCTTTGTTTCTTGATGTATCAGTTGACTGAATCTCCTAATCTTGTAAGTTTCGGTGCAAATTTGTCAGTTTTAGCTACCCGGGGAGGTTTTTGTTTTCAATATTTCAGAATATTTTCCTGTGCCTATATTATTCTTGGTACTTGGAACTGTCCAGCAGGAAAGAGCATGTTTGAACTTATTTCATTGTTCCCTCTCTAGAATGTTTTCTCGATTCTTTTTCACTGTTTTAGAATCTCTGGCAGGAATAGAGTGTTGGTTTTTGTTTTATACAAGAAAGAAGCATCAAGGGTAGAGAATATGCTTCATAAAAGGTAATACCTTGTGCCCGTTTACGCTTTGAAAATTGTACTGTTGCATTATGTTATTATTATGGTTGTCATATTATAATTTATATATTTACCAACAATTTCTATTTTTATTTTTAATTCCCAGGGGTTGGAAAGTTGTCTCTATTAGTGGTGACAAAGCACAATCTGCAAGAACTCAGGCACTGTCTCTGTTTAAAGATGGTACATGTCCTCTAATGGTATGCCCTAGGCATTTTTTCACAAAATAAATTTATTGGCTTGATTCCAGTTCTCTACCCCTGCTAACTCTAATTGTTCTTTACCTACGTGTCTTTTCTAGTGCCATTTTTTTTTTTTAATTTTTGTCATTTTGATCCTAGTTATTCTTCTATGGTTGTTGCCTTTTTTTATTTGACAAGTTATTTATCTTTTTTTTTTCCCCACATACAGCTAGGAGTAGATGATTGATCTTAGAAGTTAGAACCTTGTTGCCTTTTTTTTTATTTTTTTATTTTTATTTGTTTATAACTCGATTATCACATGTCGAAAAGTTTAGTGAAGTCTACCTTGTTCATGTATTTGTGCAGATAGCAACTGATGTTGCTGCTAGAGGATTGGATATTCCTGATGTTGAAGTTGTCATTAATTATAGTTTCCCTCTCACGACAGAGGATTATGTGCACAGAATAGGTCGGACTGGAAGAGCTGGTAAGAAGGGAGTGGCCCACACCTTCTTCATGAAGGAAAACAAGGTTATTACATCAAAAACATTATCTGTAAATTTGTGCTGATCTGCTCTGATTTCTAAATTCACTTTATAGGTAGTTAGATATTCTGCTGATAATTGGCAACATTTTCTTTTTCAGGGACTTGCTGGGGAGTTGGTAAATGTTCTTCGCGAAGCTCAGCAGGTCGTCCCTGAAAGCTTACTAAAATTTGGGACTCATGTCAAGAAAAAGGTTAGTAATACCCTTTCTTAAGTAGTGAAAGATGAATGCTTGGACAATTGGACATTGAGCATATACAGGGAAAGAAATTTCTGCCTTATAATTAGAATTTTGCTAAAAAGAAGATAGAAATGGTCTGCCTGGATCTTTCAGTTACTGTCACGTTAGTTACTCACATTGGCTTTGAAGCTAATGTAGAAAGTAGAAACACCAGTAGAGAATGATAGTTTGAGAATAACCTGTTGAGAACTATGATATTTATCTGTAAATTCAATTTATGTGTTGAATTTCACCAATATATGCATGTTACATCGACATTTTTGGCTGTTAATTTTATTATAAACACTCGGCTAATGAAGTTTTGCTGACTTGATGCAGGAGTCAAAGCTGTATGGTGCTCATTTCAGAGAAATTGATGCCAATGCTCCCAAATCTACAAAAATAAAGTTCGATAACTCTGATGATGAAGATTGATTCAAGGATGTTGCAGTTGGCAACATTTTGACACATTTTTTTTCAGTTAAGACATTTGCTGAATGTTCTTCAACAAGAAGCTATATATGAATTGAATTCTTGCAAATTTTATAATGAATCAGGTTTAAGACCAGAACAAATTATAAAGATAAATGTTGGTATTTTTTTGTAACAGAAATCAGTATTTATTTTTATTTATTATGAAGGGTATTTGCTCTAGAATGTATTTGACTGAGGCCTTTAGGATGATTGTGATCAAAGGCTGTATCAAACCATTTTATATCTATTATAATGTCTCTCAAATCAGATGGTTGTTTCTTACTATCATATTGTAATGTTGATTGTTGATGGATAATAAGTTGTGTACAATAGCTTCTTCATCCAAATTCATATATCCTAAACAAAATCATTGCAAGATTATGATCTAAATTAACAATATGATTACTTGCAAAAAATACTTGTGAATATTAATTTGGCTAACATGTGACCAGCATCTCCCAAATGTATCAAATAAAAATACAATTATATTAGGTTTTTTTCAGAGTTAAAAATTGTAGCTTCAATTTAAGATCAATATCAATAATTGTAAAATTAACAGAATATATCTTATTCTCACTCTAAACTGAAGACTTCTCAACACATATTTCTCCACCTAGAAACTGAAAATAAAGGCATGAAAGAGATATCCAGTTGCTAGTAAGAGTTAAAGAGTTGCATGCTTACATTGTGCTGTAGCAGTTCAAATGTTCTATAGAAAATGAACAGACTTATAAAATATTTGATACAATATATGAAAATAACATTTTTGTTTTTATTTTTCAATAAAAAAAAAAATCTACAATTTTGGGAGCACTTACATAATCCCTCAGTACAAAGTCAGCTATCTAATTCACATTACAGCTCCCATTTTACTTCCACAGACATCATACAGCACTATTACACACCAAATACCTTAATTTTACTCACAAACTTTAACTAAAGAGCCAACTCAGGAACTTCAAATCGATGCTCGACCGTTGGATTCACCAGTCGATCGTGCGGCCCACGGAAGCTTCCGTGGTTCATCCACAGCTTCCTCTGCCACCGACGCCCGCCACATGCCGCCTCGGAAAAGCCGCCGGAAAATATGATCAGGAGCAAGATAAAGAAAGTGAAGGAGGCCTTAAAACCCATTTAATTTAATTTCTTTTAATCTATTTTAGAGTGGGAGGAGAATGTATATAGGGAAAGAATAAGCAGCTTTGCTTTGCTTGGAAGGCATAGGGAAAAAAAAATAAAAAAAAAATGATAGTGACTCTCACTAATGTTTAACATGTGATTTTGCTACGTTTTCTTGATTCTCTTGGTTAGTTATTTACTTATTTATTTATTTTTTTACCTTTTTTTTGGGTTGATATTTTTAGGCGTGATTAGGATTAGGTGGCTGTCATGATTGGTGTTAGGAAATTAATGAAGCGCGTCAAAATTAATTAAGTCAATGCGTGCATGAATTTTGTAAGGTTGTAGTTGCTTCTTGTTTTCCTTGAATGAATAGTGAATCATATAATATTTTATCATTATAAAATAAGTCAACAATTCAAATTTTGTCAATACATAGACATGGAATCGAAGCATTAATGGTCGTCTGTATATCCAAGCAGTCAAATCTAGTGAATCATTAGAACTTTGGAAGCAATTATAGATTATTTTTTGGGTACACAGTGAAAATTGTTGTATGACATTTTTTGCCGGTTTAACTATTGGAATAATTATGACATTTTCGTAATTGCAGATTATCAAATTTTTTCAAGTTCAATGTCAATAATATGATGTGTTTTTTTTTTAGGCAAATCAATGCAAATACATAGATTGTACATAGAAAAATAACAAGAAAAAACTTTGGAATTGCAAATGTTCATCTTGCCAAACTGGGCCAGCTAATGGGCTCAAGAAAAGCCTGATATAGTTTAGGCCTATCCTTCCCTAAAACGGGTCATCAGAGCCCAATATACCTTTCTTCCCCGAAAAGAAATTCGAGATGAAATATATATGCACATAAAAATTAAAAAATAAAAAAACAATTTTAAATATACTCTCAAGCAAATTCACCAGCGTCTCTCCATTTGTCCACTTTTATCTCTCTAGAATTTCGCACCGGCGGTGACGAGCGGCTCTGTTTCCGGTTATATTGCACGGTTGGTGGAGGAATCAATGGCGGCGCTGCAGTATCTGGAGACCCTGCGGAATGCGCACCCGGAGCTCTCCGAGTGGTACAACGCGCTTTCAGATCTGTACCAGAGGAAGTTATGGCACCAGCTCACGCTCAAGCTCGAACAATTCGTAGCCCTCGCTGTGTTTCAGGTTTAACTCAGCCAGATGCATAGCGATTTGATTTATGGATGTGTTATGGATTACGAGTTTTTTCTTTGTTGTGATTTGGGTATTTTTGTTTACCTTTCCTTTTTCGTTTTTCTTCAATTAGTGGAGCTGGATTTGCTTGTGCTTTGTAGTGGAGAATTCGATGGGCTTTGTTTGTGATTTGGGCTAGGGGTTAAGTTTTTAGGGTTTTGTTGTCCTGCTCTTTTTTGGTGCTTGGTGGCTTATTTGTCTTTAAAATTAGGGTTTTTGGTATGTCAGAAGTTGTTTTGGGTGTAGATAGAGATGAATACAACATTACTCAGTGCCGCACTGCCGTGATGTAGGAAAACAAAAGAAGTATATGTAAATGTTCTTAGCAGAACAGCAACAACCAACCTGGAAGTTCATGAGAGCTGACAATAATAGGGTAATTTGTTACAGCATGAAATTATTTGAGGTTTGGGTTTGCCTTGGATTTCTTTCTGGAGAATTTACGTGTTCTATCTGAAATGGTGTATGGCTTAGAGAGTTTAAGTTACTGCTTACAGGCGTCAGGCAGTCTCAAGATCTTAATAGTTTATCTCAAATATGTCATTCTTGGTAGCCATTGGGCCAATAAAGTCCTGAACATCACAGGCAGTTCATTGAGCTCATGAGAACACTACTGAATGTACATCCTTCATGTTTTTTTCTCCTGTTCTATTTCTCTGTATTTTTTAATTTGTTTCTTGAAATGGAAGCTCCGTCTATTTGTAATTTATTCGTTGTTGTTTTATGTTTCGGTTCAGGCTGGGGATGCTCTAATCCAGCTTTACCACAATTTCATAAGTGAGTTTGAGACGAAGATCAATCTTCTCAAACTTGCTCATTTTGCCGCCATAGTTTCTCGACAGTATTCGGAGAAAGAAGCTGCTATAAACTACCTTGAAGGAGTGATTGAGAAGCTTCGGAATACCAGGGAATCACGCATTGAGGAGCCAATACTTTATATCAAAATGCAGATTGGTCAGTTCAAGCTTGATCAGGGAGATCAAAAGGAATGCAAAAAACTTTTAGATGAGGGAAAGAGTACGCTTGACAGCATGACAGACATTGATCCATCTGTGTATGCCAGCTATTATTGGGTTTCATCTCAGTATCATAAATCCCGTCAAGAATTTGCAGAATTCTACAGAAGTGGTCTTCTTTATTTAGCTTACACATCAGTAGAGTCTCTGTCAGAATCATTTAAGTTGGTATGCTTCTGTTCTTGAGTTTGATAATCTCAACACTGTTCTCTTCATGACAAGGCTGCACTCATATTTTGGTTCTTTTGGAATTTCTATTCTCTAACCAAATCAGCATCGAATAATGTCCTAGACCCATGCTTGTGAGAGGTTGAGGATTATTATTATTATTATTATTATTATTATTATTATTATTATTATTATTATTATTATTATTATTATTAATAAATAGATATAACTCATGTCAGATTCTAACAATGTCTAAGTACTTGCATCTTCAGGACTATGTCCTTAATTTGATGGTTCTTTTGTTGATCTGTCGGCCTTGGTAGTCTAATGTGCACAATTACATAGGAAGATGGTTTCTGAATGGATTTTGTTCGCCAGAAACTTGCAGCATTCCAACAAAGACCTTTTGAATGATGAAAAAAATTGATGCCTAGGTTCAGCCAACTAATTTTGGTGTCTTATGATGTTTTTTGTGCCTATATTGATAAACCTTCAGTTGATAGGAAAAGAAAAAAAGAAGCTAAAACCAACGCATATGGAACCTATTATAGCACTTTCTGTCTAGTAACCTACTAATGCTGTTCTTTTTGTTCATCAGGATTTGGCATTTGATTTATCTCTCTCAGCTTTGTTGGGGGATAACATCTACAACTTTGGTGAACTTCTTGCTCATCCGATTGTGAGTACTTGTTCAGGTTTTCTGATTTCTTACTTAGCGAAAACATTTCTAATGGTTATGCCGTTATGGTATGCTTATACATTGATTTGTGCATGCAAGTATATGATTATGTTTACGGGTATAACTTTATTCAGCCTTAAATATTACTTCTTTTACAATGTGAAACTGAAAAATATGATTGATTTGGAAAATATGTTCTTAACCTGTTCTGTGTAAATGTTGATGTCTAGGATATTCGTTTTCGGCCATCAGACAGGATTTATGGAAGGCTACCTTAAATGGTTGAAATTCTTTGCTTGATTGCACATATTTCTTCTCTTTCTTTCTCTATGTTTTTTCTCCTTTAATTTGAATAGTTAAGCAAGAGGGTTTATTTGCTTAGGATTGTAAGATAGCCCCATGGATTCAATGATAGTTGTCATTTATGTAAGATTTGGAAGCTTCATTTCTTTGTGGTTTGATTGGTAGTATGGATTTTCATCAGTTACATATATGCCCCTTTCGGTGGCATGATGTGTGCCATAAATTTTTGCATGGATGGATGAGACTGGAAACCAATGCACTAGTCATAATTCTCGAGCTGAGGTTTTTCTGGGTGATCATTGCAGATAAAAAGTCTTTTGGGCACTAAGGTTGAGTGGCTTTACTACATTCTTGAAGCATTCAATTCTGGTGATTTAGTCCGCTATCAAGAACTATGTCGTGTGCATGGAGCTGCTCTGAGTACCCAACCGGCATTAGTCCAGAATGAGAAAAAGCTGCTTGAGAAGATCAACATTCTCTGCTTGATGGAGATTATTTTCAGGTGAATGCTAATGAAAGTTATGAAGTTGCTGAAAGTTATGAAATTGTGAAGGGTTTTCCATTGTATTGAGAATACACTATTTGCTTGCAGCCGGCCATCAGAGGATAGGACAATTCCGTTAAATATCATTGCCGAGCGAACAAAACTTACTGTAGACGATGTGGAGTATCTTCTCATGAAGAGCCTTTCAGTAAGTGGCCAAAGATTTTATGTGCACGTATATATCTTGAACATAAACACATCGTTTTTAACTATCTTGATTTTGGACTTGCACTACCTAATAAATCCATAAAGTATGAATTTTTACCTGTACTGCTAAATTATTGTGAACTCTTTCACGTCATTTGACTTTGTTGACTTAATCGACTGCTGAACCTCATGTGCAGGTGCATCTAATAGAGGGAATCATCGACCAAGTTGAGGGCACTGTTTATGTGTCGTGGGTGCAACCTCGGGTTTTAGGGATCCCTCAGATCAAGTCATTACGTGACAGGCTGGACAATTGGGTGGACAAGGTTCATACTGCTTTGTTGTCGGTTGAGGCTGAAACACCCGATTTAGTTGCTGCCTAATTTTTTTCGGCTCCTGCCCCTTTTGAATTCTGAAGATACTCTAAGCCAAAAGGAGAAACCTTGATTTTGAATTTCTTGGGTCATGTAATGTTGTGGGTTTCTCTTCTTATGCTTTTCTTCTTTTTTTTTTTCTTCCCTTTTCTATTTTTCAGCCAGACTTTTTCTACTTTATGAGTAAACACTAAACAGCAAGGGATTTCTTTACACAAGTTCTCTGTGCTAGCATACAATTTCTTGTATTAGTAGTAATTAATGTTCACTTATGTTTGTTTGAACTTTCAAATTTCAATGGTGTCATTGATGGAAGTACAAAATTCTACTGCAGCAGCAGAAATCTGATATTGTTTTTATCTGTCAACAGGATTCATGTTTTTAAATTTTTTTGGGTGAATAGTGTGATTGACTATAGATTGTTTTACAAATAGAGATTTAAATGGATGAGTTATAAAATGTAGGTTTCCAATTTCCAGGTGGAACAATGAAATATTTTTAGATTGTGAAGGGATGTGAAATAAAATGTAATGATGAGTAAAGTTAATGTGGGAACGGATATGAAATAAAATGTAATAATAATAGTTGATGTAAATTTAATGTGTGAACGAATATGAAATAAAATGTAATGATCAAATTGACGACGTGGTACACTAATAAATTGTATGCCAATTGCCAATGCATTGCATCTATACATTGACAAAAATTAAAAATAAATCTATCAGATGGGAAACTCAGATTCAACGTTATTTAAAAGTATTTCAGGTTGACCTATCGTAGAATGTTCCGGTAGTAACTCACAGAATCGACATTATTCAATCTGGCCGGGCCGACTCACAGTTAGGCTGACTCACATAAATTTCTTCCTCTTTAAAGGAAAAAAAAAAAAAATTACATGTGTTTAATAGCGTTCTAACATAAGCAGCAAGCGTAAGAGAAATAAAAAAGGAAAAAAGAAATAACAAATTCACTCTTCTGCTCAGAAACAAACTTAACTTATTATTTTCAACCACCAAAAACAACCCAACACAGTGCTAAAGAAAATCAAACTGTATCTTAATTACAGCATCTCCAAATGTGGTCATACACATTGTCCAATACTGGGCACAGTTTATTACATTTCAAATTAAGCACACATATTCCCATCTCAAAGTTTCAATAAAATCTAAAACTTACACAAAACACAAAACAGAAAAAGGATTATCACAACACTTGCAGACTTTTAACATCTCCTAAGAATATAGATAAATCAACTACACATCCTAATCTCCCAACAGCCAACTAACACATACATAACACAGAAGACCACTTTCCGACACCACAAGCGCGAAAAAAGCTTTATTCATCCTCCTATATACAACAGCAATTTTTTTTCTCGAGAGTCGTGCTTTTGCCCCTCCCGATTTTTTTTTTTCTCTCTTCATTATTCCTGGCGGACTAACGGTGGAGAACTCACATCCGTTGTGCTGTAAAACGAGTCCTCCCCACCGGCCGCATAGTAGCCTTCCTCCTTCTCATCATCCCACCGAACAACCTCACGTATGTACTTAAAGGCCTCGTCTACAGTGGGCCTGTCCAAGGCCCTTGTTTGCCAAACGAAAAGCTTCTGGCCCGTTAAGGACGCGTAAAGCTCCTTGAACTTCATGGCAACATAGAAGTAGGCCTGTTGGGCCAGGGACTGTGTGTTGTGGTGGGGCCTAACTGGGCTGAACTCGGTGAACCAAGGGCACGAGCCCAGTGGGACCCGGTTGATTTTTTCCTCGAATAAGTCGTATTTGTTTAAGACGAGGACAAAAGGTGTGTTCTTGAAACACGGGTGTTTGACCACAGACTCGAAAAGGTCCCGGCTTTGGATCATCTGGTTCGAGAGGTGGGGTGCAGGGATGGATGTGTCTGGGGATGCCCACACCTGATCGTAATCGCTCAAAGAGACGCAGAAGACGACTGCTCGGACATCCTCGAACATCTCGACCCACTTGCAACCCTCGTTCATGCCTTTGGCGTTTACTCGGATCAGTTGGAACCTGTTGCGTAGCAATTTTTTTTTTTTTGTTACGTGAATAAAAATCTCGAGCTATAAGAATGACTCCTGGTAGTTTTTTTTTAGCAGAGCTTTAGTTTTTAGGAGAATATGATTATTTCGATTGCATGAAAAATCTAAAAAAGCAGGTTCGAAAAACAGAAGTTCGTAGTCTGATTCCAAACAATAGCTAGAAGTTGCACAAAGTTAGAAAACGAGAGTGTAGTGAAGTAAGCCATAGAAGTGCTTATGATTTTACAAAAAGTGAAAACCAGAAACAGAAAAGTATAGAACAGCCCTTCCATTGCTTTCAGAATCTGGTAAAATATATGAAGGGTCAGGAGGAGAAGTTGTCATTAGTATATAAAAATCTTTGTTTTGTTCTGTTTTGTTTTTCTTCTACTTTGTCTGTCTTCCTGGCTATTAGAAAAAAATCATTTTTTTTTTTAATATTTTAGTCAAGCTGTCAAGAGAAGCACTTCCTTATTCATTTGTACTAATAGTTTCATTAAAATGATTTGATTTGTATCATCTTTTCTGTGGTATTTATGATTTCTAGTGAATCTCTCAGTATGCCTCTTATACAACTTTGACACAACACTATTAACAGTGTGAACTATAATATTTGTACCCATGAAAACGTGATATTTAAGAGTCACAAGAGAAGTTTCCAGTCACTAATACTTACACACATTGACTGAAAAAGAATCATGCGGGACAAGGAACTTACTTGGACAGTGGGGGAGCCGATTCTAGATTTTCCGTGTAAGTTTCGGACATTGGACTCCGATCGTCCAATGAGAACTCCATAAAAGCCAACCCATTACCTTGAGTCACCCCTTCAGCATACAGTATATCTTTGTCTGAAGGCTCATACTCGTTGCTCGAAATTTCAACCGCCTGTCGTGTCGAACACAGAGAAGGATATTTGCATTCAAATCAATTTCGGCATGTTTTCAAGAAGAACAACACAAAATAGATCTCGAGACTTAGCGTAAAAGCAGATATTAGACAAATTTATATAACATGCTTTTGATTCAAATGCTTGGATACAAATTTTTCTAAAACATTCCAATTATTTTTAACCAATCACTTTTTTTTCTTAATCAAATCCAACTCAACCCCACTATCCTCAATATTATCAATATAATTAAATAATATTACTCAATCAATTTTAGACATTACATCAACTTTAATTCACTATTCATCCACTCACATAATTTTAACTAACTATTGCTTCACATCATCTCTCTCCTACTTTAACATCAAATCCAAAAAATCCAAACAAAATCAAATATTTTATATCCAAGCATTGGTTCCCCTAATGAGGTTCAATATAAAATGCGGCACATACAACTTCAAGAGAGCTGGAATTTTTTATTTATTTTAATTTAAGAGAGTTCAATGTAAAATACGGCACATTCAGGTTGGAACTGCTAAAGAATATATACCCTGCCCAAGAAGTACTCAGCTACATCTGGAAGAAAGTGGAGCTCATTCTTTCTCTTGTAAGTCTCCTGAATAGCAGGATCTCTCCATACTTCCTCAACAAGTGGGGCATATTCACGTGTTGCTGCTGGAAAAAATGCATCCAAGTCCCCAGTGGCTATGATATCGAGCAGCCAATCAGAAAAATGTTTCAACTTTGGGTTGAGAGAATAAATGCACTGGTTATTACTATCATCAGCGACTTCCCCTGCAAAAGATTACAGCACTCGATCACGACAAAGAAGCGAAAGCACTAGAAAATAATTTGTAAGTTGTAACCAGTAGCTTTTAATTAGTTACTGAGTCGTATAGAAAGTCCATTGTATTTCAAAAACTCAAAAAGCTAAGGTATTAGCAAAAGATAGAAAGTTAGTCATCATTGTACCATCCTAAAACAAAAAAAAAAAAAAATAATGGCATAAAATACTTGTGCACCCAACTGAAGTGTATATTGATCACAAAGCGGATACTTTATCAAAATACTATGTTTTCTTAACTTCTATGAAGCTTTTGAATTCACCATTCGGACAAATCCTTGTTACAAAGGTGGCTAATTAGGATGCATAGGAGAAAAAGATTTTGCGACAAAAGCAGGTAAAGTTGTGCTAGTTCGAAAGATTATAATAAAAATCACAGTTCCTTTATCTTTTCTTGTTAATACTAGAATTATTTCATTGCCAGTGATCATCAGAATGCCAAAACAAATCTGGATTTCCTATCAGAACACTTTCGAAGTTAATTCCGCTTAAGGCCTACTCCTAAAAAGTCGAATATAAAATGTGAGCTAGATGGAAATTTGCAGCTTACACCACTTTCACTTTTACCAGTTTGTCCATTTCCAAAACAGTACTTCAACACTTACTCTAAAATAAGCTGTAAAGAGTTGAAAAACATAAAAGACCCTAAATAGTAGAAAGTGATTTCACAATCCATGGCTAGGCAAATAGCTATAGAGAAGGAGAGATGAAAAAGCACTCTTATGACAGCACAAAAGCAAACTTCCATGATGCATCAAAAACCCATTGTTGATGTAAACTTGGAGAAATAATGTCCCAGGAGACCTTTTGTTTAATACCTTCTTCAGCAACGTCTTTGTTAGAAGCTTGCTTTCTTCTCTCTAATAAAGCTTCCTCTTCAAAGCGCTCTCGACCATCAAGCAAGATGCTGAGATACTTATACATATTGCTCTGTATCATGAGTTTGATATCCTGTAGCTCCTCAGAGGTAAATTTGTTCCCGTACAAAAACTTGGCCTGTATTGAAAGTTTTTTAATATTAATGGCTATAACATAACACGCCTTTTGAAACTCGAGCAAAATTACCTGCTTGAAAATGGTGCTGGTACCAGAGCCTTGAAGTCCAAGAAGAAGAAGCTTCTGGATCTTTTTTTTCAGCTCGAGATAATTTGGAACAGTCATATAGTTGCTAGGCTCATCCTTGTGCCCATGAGGCTGACCTTGAGGTACAGGTAAAGAGAACAAGGAGCACATGAACCGAGTTGATGCCTAAAGTGATAAAGATTTCAATGTGTCGTTAAAATGGTTCTCTCCTGAAATTGCTTCAACAGTTAGAAATTTGCGATTATTGTATACTCGTGACCTACCTTTTCCCAGATATTTCCTCTAATATTATTTTGGCCTTCCTCCTCATATCGACCGTCGTCATAAACCCAAAAATGGGTATCACGAGGGCATTGTACATTTGCAAGCTGAATCACAAGCATATAAAATAAAAAAAAAAATTAAAAAAAAAAAGGAAAAAGAAAAACATATCAGAAATTTCAAGAAAGCAAAAGAAACTGAGACACGAACAAGCACGCAGTTCTGTCACAGTGTTCTATCTCAACGTGAGCTTAATAATAGCTAACCCAAGACAAGGATTCAAAATTAATTTCGGCAAAGTACCGAAGCTCGATAAATGCTCAAGTACTAAGAGCTAAAAACAAACACCTATAGATTTTTACTCTCAATATAAATATACCCCACAATTATTTTGACTTCCCTTTCCCTAAGCTTTGGGTTGACTCTTGACACCACAAAGCTACAGAGACAAAAAAGAAGCTTTAGCTTCTAACACATCCCATTTCTCCATCTTTTTCAACATAGACAAGCACAAACACATTCAGACAATAAAATCCCCAGATTACCAACCTTCAGTATTCTCAGTTCAAGCTTCGTGATCTCTCGACCATTCATGTACACCTCAGTACTCCCATTGCTCGCGTTCGGGCTCAGTTTTCCCGTGAAATTCAAATTCGAACTAATAATTCTATCAGGCTTCTCTCCCTCCTGTCAAAAAATCCAACCATCATAAACTTTACAAAATCATATTCTCACTTACTTCATAAACACATGCAAGTAACAACAGCACAGTAAATTGTCTTACAGAAAAATTAAAACCAATTTTTTTTTTTTACCTTTCCCCAAAGACCCGATTCCTTGTCATACCAATACCTGCCAGGCTTCAACTTCCTAGGCGGCAATGGGCACCCGAAAAGCTCCGCCATCTCCTCCGATTTCAAAGGATACCCATTCACAATCAACTGCTCTGGCCGAAGCTGATTAGCAGCACACTCCTTCTCAGCCTTCATAATATGCTTAACTTCCAACGGACTTAACAAACGAGACAAAACCCTCGAGTGTTTACCCAATCTGCACCTTTTCAGCTCGTCAATCGGCTCCCCAATACACGTCACACACTTTCGCCCCTCGGGCATCGAGCCCATTGCTCGAAGCACGCAGTTACTGCAATATTTCGCATCGCAGACCAAACAAGACTCTTTAGCTTCCCACTTCCCTTTCCCACACCTATAGCAAACCCTCGCCTTTTTTCTCTTCTTTTTCTCCTTGGCTAAGCCCACGACATATTCGGGGAAAACCTGCTTTTCGCCATCAGCCAATCGCCTTTCGGACCTATCGCCCGTGTTAAAAGTCACCACCATTGGCCGCCTTATCTCGTTTGGAGGGGCACTGCCCTTACGGCTGTGGATATGAATTGAGCCCGAGCCCGAGCCCGAGCCTGAGCCCGAACGAGAGTAAAAATCATCGTTTTGTAAAACGGACACAACTGATTCGGTACTTTGTGACAGTCTTCTTCTGGGAAAAGGGATTGGGTCCATCACAGGGGCCGAGTTGCGGGAGATCGAACCTCGGGATTCGGAGAGTGGGTCGGCAGTAGGGATTTGGTCAGGATTCAAGTCGAGGGGCTCGGCTCTTGGGAGGTCATATGGGACAGGTGGCCCACTGTACTCGAGGGCAATCGAGTAGTCCATTTTGTCCTCATCTGGTAAGGGGGCACCTGGTGGAAGCATTTTCCTGACCATTTCCCTAAAGTTATCTGCCCCATTTTTCTCCATTTTTTGCTAAAAAATGTGTAATCAGAACTAAATATACTATAAATTTTGAAGAATTTGCAACGAGGAGTGAACGAGATTTGCATAGAATACAAGGCAGCTAGTAATTGGTCTGTTTTACACGGATTTTCGTGAAAAATCCCAAATTGGAGCCGCAGTGAATGATGGGGGAGGAAGCCAGTTCTTCACCGACGAAGCGAAAATTAACCCTTTTTTACACGCCATGGCTAGATTTGGATGCCTTCAAATCTGAAATGACTCAATCGAACACAAAATGATAAGGTTTTATTAAAACCCAGATAAATCAGCCGTTCAAGCACGGGCTTTTCAGCTAGAAAGGCACTCAAACAGCTCACAATTCACACTAAACGTGCAAAAATAAAGGGG